ATAACTGAATGTGTATATATATATATACATATATATTTGTTATAGTTCTTTAATATTTACCGGTCCGGTCCGGTTAAACCGGCAGTTTGCCGCAGGTAATCCGTTAACCGGACTGGTTATTTCGGATTTTTAAAAATATTAACCACCGGATTTTTTAAGGCTTTTTTAACCGACCATTTAACCGATATGCGGTCCCGATTGATGTTTTTTTTGGTTAAAATTGGACCGTGAACACCCCTATAACACACACACACAAAGAAAAGGGAAAGCAAACCTTAACCAGCAAAAGAAGCACATGTTCTAATCGAGGCTAACCCTAACACGCAGGACAAGAACAAAGCAAAGATACAGAGACAACAAGCAAATAACAAAATAAGAACGAGAGAAACACCTACAAGATCCAAAGCAAGATCCAAAATCTGGAACTGGTACTCTAGAAAGAGAAAAACTCTTGACAACGTGAACTTTAGATGTTAAGTTTCACAATCCGGTCACGTCCAAATTAATGTTAAACAAATCATCTTATACCATACTGAGGCAACATTAACAATGGGTTTTGCTCTATGTTTACAAACCTACTCCTACATGTTTTGTTAGTAAATGGACAAGGTTTGAGGTTTAAGATTTTACATGAGGTTTGCAAATCCAAACCTCTCATAAACCTCTTGTGTGGGCCCTACATTTGCAACAATCTCTCAACTTTTTCTATTTTATTCTTATTTTTTATTTTTTTTAATAAAAATATAAGAGTATTATATTAAATAAAAGAAGGTGAAAAACATGTGGGACCCAAAAATAAGAGGTTTATGAGTTTTATTTTTATTGGAGATTTATGTGTGTTTGAGTTTTTGAATAATGTGGCATGTTGAGAAGTGTAAAAGGAGGTTTATAGGGAGTTATTGTTAAAGATGCTCTGAATCAAAGTATCTAAATTTAAAACGTAACTATAATATTATATATTCTTGCTCAAAGATTTATATCCACTTTAATCCTATATAAATATCCACTTTAATCCTATATAATTTGAATATCTTTAAAACCTTAATAATAGATAGTATATAACAATTAAATTTCACATAAATTTTATGCTTAAAAATATTTCATCTACAATTGATTAAAGAATGTATTTATATTATATTTTTTGGTTATGTTTTAGACTTATTCCATATTATAATTAAAATGGTATGAAAAGTTAAAGAAATATTTAAAAATTAATATTATATTTTATTTAAATAGCAAATATTCATCACTAGTTGCACAAATTCAGCATTATCAAAAAATTTTGAGTTACCTTTTTTCTTTCAAACGGCAGATTCTCATAAATAGAACACATAATTACAAGCAGATAACAACCGGTAACAGTAGGAAAGAGCAGATAGATGGCTGGGATCCATGGGAAGACAACCCACAAGACAGCCTAAATGAACACGCACAACACAGCCGCGAGCTCTCAACAGGAGAATACAACTCCCAACAGAAGAATACAAATAAAACACACAAATAAACAAAACACTAGCAACACACCAACAACACACTGAACAATAATCCCTCCCCATCAGCTGACCGACAACCCAAACCCTAGAGATGCGACTCCAAGCACGACACTGAAAGCTCCTAACCAACGCTGGCTAATCAGTACTCGCCCGGACACCAACACCTCCTTCCAAAGGAACTCGCCTCCAGAAAAATTCAGGCTGTTCGCATCTGGCCACACCCCATCGCAACCCAATAACCACAGCCCCCAATCAGCCGGAGACTGGGGTTGACGCTGCCGGAGGAATCCTCCAATCTCAACACGGAGATCGGCCGGACCCAGTGGGAGTTAGACACGAGCCCTGGCCCCAAAACGCCCCGCAGACAGCATTCGGAGCCGGTGGCCAAGGAAGACACGACGACTCACCGGACACCCCAATACCTTCCGCCATGGCCACCAACGCTCAAGAAATGCCACGGCGAAGTAGGGCCGCCAAGATGCCGGATCGACCACGGCCACCCTGAATCGGGGATGAAAAAGTCGCGAAACACCGGCATGACGGCACTGTTGAGGCTTAATGACGACGGTCAAGAGGGAGAGGAAGATATCGAGAGGGAGAGGAAAGGGGATAATCTTTAGGTGTTTGTAATTTCTGAGTTACTTCAATTTTCTTAAGGTTGATTTCGAATAAAATACTTAATAGGCGTAACGGCGGGAAAATAAACGACATTTACTTTATTGGCTATTTAATCACGACCTTTAAACCTTGGCAAATAAATACATGACCTTTACATTCTTGACAACTCGATACACGGATTTAACGTCCGTCAATAAAAAGTTGACTTGAAATTTTTTTTTAACAGCCACGTTACCTAGAAGTCTGACTCAGCAAACAGAAGCTAAATCATCAGTTAAACCTTGACAGTTTAATAGACCACCTTTAGTTTTTTGGCAACCAAATACACGAACTTAACTTTTTTTGCAAAAAGCTGCCACATCAGTATTTTATTTTAGTTTTGATTTAAATTCATTTAATTTACATTTATTATTTTATTTATTTTAATTATACTTTTATTATTGAAATTTATGTTTACAATTTAAATATTGTAATTTAAATTTTATGTTTATTTAATTTTTAGTTTATATATTTTATGTTATTCTACTTTATTAATTTTTAATATTTAATGTATTTAATATTTAATTAATAAATAGTAAATAAAATTAATATTAATATAGTAAATATAATTAATATTAATATAGTAAATAATGAATAATAAATAATAAAACATATAATATAGAATTCAATAAAACATATAATTAAAATCTAATATATTTATTTATTTACATAAATAATATTACATTATTTATATTATATGCGTTTAATGTACATACTTATTTAGTTTATTCGTATATTTTTTTATTTAAGTATGTTAATAATAATAAAAGTTAACTCTAGAAAATCTGTAAATTAAATAAATAAATAATAATATTATATTTATATTATAATTATTTATATTATCAATATTTATTTAATGCTTAAATAATTTTTTTTTTTTTGAAACTAAATAATGTAAATAGTATATAAAACAACACAAATGATAATAAAGTTAAATAAAATGAGATAATTACATAATATAAATTTATTTATTTATTTATTTATTTTACAAAATTTATAAAGTTAAGTTTTATTATTATTTAACATACTTAAATAAAAAATATATACAAACAAATTAAATAAAAAAATATATTAAATAGATATAATACAAATTATGTAATATTATTTATCTAAATAAATAAATATATTAGATTTTAAATATATGTTTTATTGAATTCTATATTATATGTTTTATTATTTATTATTCATTATTTACTATATTAATATTAATTATGTTATTATTTATTAATTGAATATTAAATGCATTAAATATTAAAAATTAATAAAGTATAATCAAATAAAATATATAAATTAAATAAAATAATATATTATTTATTTATTTTTTTGTTTGTAATCACTATATATTTAAATTATAAACATATTTCATTAAAAAAAATTAAAATAAATAAAAATAATAAAAGTAAATTAAATGAATTTAAATAAAAAATAAAACAAAATGTTGATATGGCAGCTTTTTGCCAAAAAAGGTTAAGTTTATGTATCGGGTTGCCAAAATACCAAAGGTGGTGTATTAAACTGCGAAGGTTTAACTGATGATTTGCCTTATGTTTGTTAAGTCAGACTTCTAGGTGACATGGCCATTAAAACAAATTGCTACATCAACTTCCCGTTAACGGACGTTAAATCCGTGTATCGAGTTGCCAAGAATGTAAAGGTCATGTATTTGTTTTTCTAGGTTTAAAGGTCGTGTGATTAAATGGCCAGTCAAGTAAAGGTCATGTATTTTCCCACCATTAGGCCTACTTAATATGGTTAGTATAGACGAATTTGCATTTAAAAAAGAAATCTCACAATTTAAATAACTAAATAATATTTTGAAAAACAAAATTGAAAAGTAATTAGAAATCTCCAGTACTCCAATCCAAACCGAACCTTTCAAATACCGAACCGAACCGAAAAATAAAATCTCCAACCAAATTGATTTTTTTGTATGATTTTGAAGATTTAATTTTAGTGAATTTCCAATTTCGGTACGGTTCTGGAGATTTTTTAATTTCGAACCGTACTTACTCATGCTCAACCTAAGTTTCAGATGCCTACAAGCTCTAGAATGAAACAACAAAGTGCACTTTTATATTCAGAACAATGTTATACACAATTGACCATAAACTCCACATAGATTCATTAGCATGATTAAGATAAACTGAACATAAATTTTACTAAGTGAAATCAGTTAAAAGTGAGAGCTGTCCTGGAGAAAAAAAATAAATAAAAATAAAAATAAAATAATAATAATAAAAATAAAAATAAAAATCCATTTGATAATCTACCAGCCCACGTTGTATCACCTCGTACCTGGATCGCTACTGCATCCTCAAGAAAACATCATTCTGATGGCAACTACCATTGCCTCTCCATCACCAAAAGATCAAAGAATCATATGTCTGGAGAAAAAGAATGAATCGAAATATTGTACTCACCGATAATAGATATAACCTATGCGCCACTTGAAGAAGGCACCATAATCCTGGTTCCTACAAGAATGCTAGAATATCAGAAACATGATTTTATTGAAATATAAATATTATGTACAAGAAGCTCCGTTTGCTATCTGTATTTGCTAGGACCTTATCCTACGATTGAGCTCATACATCGAACAAAAAGATCTTTACAGTCAAAATGTCAACAACTCAAACATTGACAGAATGCTCGGTCACAGGAAAATATTCGCTTCAAATCGATTAACCTGGGGCTTTAACCTAAAGAATATGATAGCCTAACAATAGTCTGGAAATTTGCATGAACATCTAATTGGGGTCCGTTCATGGCAGTAAATCCTTTTTCTATCTCCTTCCCTCCTTTTTCCTTCTTTTGATAGTATAAGATACAGAAATATACAACACCGCAGTCTCAAACCATCATATTTAAGTCCGACAGGTCATCCATTGGGATTCCAAGGCCACCCATAAAATCATGATCATGCAATCCATCATCCTCGATATTCAACCACGACCCTATATCTTCTCCTTGACCGCCTAGATCATCAGGATGACCTATATCATCCATCTCAGGGAGTTGCAGGCCTGATAAATCAATGGGCTCTTCCAACATCTCTGAGTTATAGTCAATGTTATTGTTCGTATTTTCATGCCCGCCAACCTCATTCGAGGTGAGAGATGGTGAGAACACTCCTTTTGCCTGTTCAGTCATTTTACCTAAAGATCCGTTGACCGAAGCAGACAAATGAGTTGTTTTCTGCTTAGGTTTTGCCTTGGACTTTCTCTCTCCTTTAGCAGAGTTAGCCGGGCGGCCAACTTTACCAGTGGAACTGTTTCCCTTTCCTTCTCTGTCCCTCTCACTCCTTTTTCCTTTGGCGCTGCATGAAAAGGAACCATCAAGTCCTGGCTGCAGAACTGGGACTCTGCCACTCGTTCCACCAACATCATCGAGCATCAATTCCCTTCTTTTCACTTTGTTTGACCAACTGTCTTCAGTACCAGTAATTTGTTCAGAGCCCAGGTTTGCAGATGGGAAGGCTTCAAATGAATATGTATCTTGATTGTTTGACCTGGGGCCCTGCTGTGCGCCCAGATGAGCTGCATAATAATAATAATAAAAATAATAATAATAACATTATAATAATAATAATAACAACAACAACAACAGCAACAACCACAACAACAATAATAATAACAAAACGGAGAGGAAGAGGGAGGGAGAAGAGAGGTATGCATGTTTTCAGCAAAAATGTAATTTTAACATATCAGAAAAAATGTAATTTGTATTGTTTCTACATTGTTTCTGTGCGGTTTCCAGACGATTAAAAAACAGCGATAACATTTTGAAACAATTAAGAAACAAATACTAAACAGGAGTGTATTTTTTGGAAAAGAAATTCAGACGTGTTCCTGGACTACACTGGTAAAATATCGTTTAGCTAAAAAGGTTGGGTTTTTGCCCTTTTAACTAATAAAACATCCCACAAACCAAATAAGGAAGAAATAAGAGAAAAGGAAGAAATGTAAAGAAACCCCATAAATGCTGATTAGGCATCACGCAGTTCATTTTAGCCACATACCTGGAGTTTTAACTTCCATAGAGCAGCCAGAGATGCCGAAATTGAGTTTGTTACATTCGTTGTCTGTGCTGGAATTCAGAGGCTGTCGATCAACAAGGCGCGAGACTCCAGAGAGGAACATGTCCCTGTACAAAGGATCATCAAAGCAACTTTTTCCTGTAGCCTCAAATTCCTGGTAACGCTCCAATGATCGCTTAACAAAAGCCAAGGCAGTTTGTTGTTTGGCAATTTTACTACTGTTATTCTTCGTACCCTGACTGTTAGGACCCAAGCAACTCTGCAGCAGGAAAAAAACAAATTGATCAAGAAACACATTCAACCAGCAAACTTTATATTCAGGTCCGGAATAAGTAGTTTTAGGCGATAATTCAACAAATTTTTTTATCAGGCCACATTATGATGCCCAGATACAGAGTAATCATGATTCCTAAGCAATGAAAACTCTTCATCAATAGAAAAAAGAAGAAACCTAAGATAAAGGATAATGTGATTATGAGTTAACTACATAAGTAAAAAAAAAAAAAAAAAAAAAAAAAAAAAAAAAAAAAAAAAAAAAAAAAAAAAAAAAAAAAAAAAAAAAAAAAAAAAAAAAAAAAAAAAAAAAAAAAAAAAAAAAAAAAAAACTGGAGCTAGAAATTTACTTACAGACACCACCAACAACTTAATTGAATTGAAGTATTCATCAACTTCAGAATTGCACTTTTTCCTAAATGGTTTCTTTTCTTCAAATATTTCATTACCTCTTCATAATATGTGTGTGTGTATACATATATATAAATTTGTTCATGCGTGTGCGTGATTTATTCCTTTATTATCCGAACAGCAACCCTTCATACTCCTTTATAAATTAAGAATACACATCAACTGCTGATATGTGGTTATTGTTTGAATGTTTTGCATAAGCATGCTGCTAATTGATAACATTCTTAGAAACTCATACTTGAAGGAATTTCGAACATAATTTTTACTTTCCGAAATTAAAACAGAATCTCATAAGGTCCAGCATTCACTCAAGTGTCCATATTCTGTCTGTACAAATCATATCATGGTATAGAAAAGATAATACACCTTCACATATTCATGTATTAAAGGAAAGAGGAAGAAAGTCGCGGATAATAGTAATTACCATGTATTTTTCAAAGGCCATTCCAACAAGTTTATCAAGAGCAAGCACTTCAAATTCCCTGAGACATAAGGAGCTTCAGTTATAATCAAGACAGACAGGCTGTCCACAGATTTACAATGACAGTTTCATATGGAAAATGAACTCCCTACTTTTCCTGCAGCTCTTTAGCTTCAGAAGCAGAACTCAGAAGTTTACCGAGGAAGCTTTTCTTCCTTGAAACCTGGCAATTGACTTAATAATGAGAAAGAATGCAATATATAATCAGACGCTTCTATAAAATTTTACGTCAGCATCCATATTAACTGCTGTTTTAACTATTGATCTACATTTGTCAATCTATCTTCTTAAGTAGGAAAAATAAAAAATGAACTAAAAAAAATACTCTTTCAGTCTATGATTTTCCAGGATAATCCACAAGAGTAAACAATCAAATTTCCAATTGACAGATGCAAAGAAAGTATATACAGCCATCCCCATCAAAACAGCAGGAATCTTCTATTGACCTCAACCAAGGCTCCTGACAAACTCGCACAAAATAGTAAATGTCTCATGGCCAAGTGTTTCCTTCCATGTGCTACTTAAAGACATTTGATATTTCCTTCAGTCATTTCTTTCTTTGTGTGTATTGCGTGTGTATGTAGAGAGTGAGAGAAGTGTTAAAGCGGTAGGTGTACAGAGAAACAGAGAGAAACTATGTGAGCCACTTAAGGATGTTTGACAGTTCCTTCAATGGTTCCTTTCTTACTGTGTCTTGTGTATGGATATGTGCATATATATGTGCGTGTGTGCATCAGAGAGAGAGACAGAGAGAGGTGACAGGTGCAGGTGCAATAGATTTCATTAAGCCTTTGACAAAAAACCATCTATTTTAGATTGGAATCAAATCTTACCTGTTCCTGGTATTTCTCGTCCAAACTATTGATATCTCCACTTATTTCCTCATCTCCACTCTGTCAAATCACATTGGTCAAAACTCAAAAGGCTAATCAATAACAATAGTGTGGAAAAACTTAACAGGGCAAATGGAAACAAGTGTTCGACTAGACACCTTTCACGAGAAAAACAGAACATACCACTAGATCTGGGTAGATTCCTATGTTGTGAACCTCTAAGAGAAGTCTTTCATTTATTGGCAAATTAAAATATTGATGATCAGAACAAATCGTGCCAGTCATTGACTGTTCTGTATGTAAACGAGTTTGCACATGATCATAGCTGGGAATCCCTGTGTCAGGAGTAGACACAGTACTGCACTCTAGCTCATAAAATGATCTCCCATTAGCATTTACATCATAACTATTTGGCATAGGATATCCCGAAGGGATCAGTGAGATCTGAGAGCACAATGTATCAGATTCTATATCCTTTTCCATTTCAGAGCGAGAACCATAAACATCATATCTTAGGTTATCTTTTCCAAAAGGGGCCTCATTTCCTTCTTCAGGAATCAAAGCTGCGATTAGCCTCTGATACAGGGGAATCTCATTTGGTGACTTTGCTCCTAATGCTGAATGTTCTGCACTAAGTTCCACACTTCTTCCTTCAGTTTCCTCTCTGCCAAAAACATTTGATCTGCAGCCATTAGGTAGTAAAGTGCTACTACCGGCATCGTGATGGGCAAGAGCAGGTGTATCCAGAGCTAAACCAGGATTAACCTGAAGGATAAACATGGAATTAGGATACCCTAATACACCACATTCGTGATAGAACTTAATTATACATAAAAGTCAATAATTACAATGAAATATTTTCAGCACCCTTTAGGAGAAATGCGTTAAAATATTGCATCCGAACATTTATAAAGAGTAAATGACTAAATGTAAATCAAGTAGTGCACCTATTGCTTATTCATAAACATAAAAAA